CTTTCTTTTCTTTCTATATGTTAAATATAAAACTACATGTTAATTTGCCAATTTTCCATGGAGAGCACGCGCACGCCATACCGACAATTTTCGGGACAACCGTCATTAATAGCACGGGTAATTTGACCTCATTTATTCAACACCAAGTAAAATTGTGTCGTGTAAGCTGAAGATTTACGATGAAGTCATTACGTTTTATGGTCCATAATTGATAGAGATAAGATCTCGGCACACTGAAATTGCAAAGTGGGGTTTCAAGCACATTGAACTCAAAGACGCGCATTAGTGTAAAGAAAAATCGCCTGTATTACCATAAACGACTGGCGTTGTGGTTATTAATTACAAAACTTTATAGACTGGTGACACGCGACTTTTTCTTTATGTTTTACGCAATTGTAATTTATATTTTTTTCAGTTTTATTATAGCGGCAATCAAGGGAAAGCCGCAGTAAAATATTAAATAGTGTAACGTCTCAATAAATAATAATTTGTCTTGAAGAAATGTGTTTAACAGTTTTGTAAATAAAATTTACTTGCGGTCATATTTTTTTAAGCATATAAACTGCTCGATGTGTAAAAATTAGGTCCTTACATATGAAATTGGCGTTTTGTACGTGTGGAACTTAAAGTATTTTTTTGTAAAATATATTTAATTAATAAAGTATGCACCGTTTTTATCTATGCACTTTCGCCATCTCATAGGTAGTTCATTGATCCCTTTACTAAAAAACCCAGGGGGGCGAGAACCAATAAACTCTTTGAAGGCGGTTTGGACTGCCGCATCAGAGTTGTATTGACAGACAGACAACAAAGTGATCTTAGGGTTTCGTGTTTTTTCTTTTGAGGCATGGAAACCTAAAAACACTATACCAACAAAGTAAGGCAGTGTTACTTCACTAAGATCCTCTCCAGACCGGCGGCGCTTGAAAACCTGATATAGGTACCTCTCCTAATTGGAATGCCCTATCTCAAAAATGTACCTTCTCTTTTCTGACGGGTTGTGTATTTTTTCAATCCAGAACTAAACAGCATTTCGAACATATTTGGAGATTCCCCATAGCAAGCCGTCTATCATCAGCATTTGACACTCACAGAATAATTCTGGTCTGTATATTTACAAAATACTAAAAAAAAGAAAAATGTCAATTTTAGCTAAGCTTCCATACGGCATTCACGTTACCGTTAGGTATATACTAGCTTCCTTGGCATTGACAACTGTAGTTTTCCGAGAACACCTTAGAATTAGATCGAACGACCAAATGTATCTTTGGACTGTGGCTATGGGAGGGACATGATGTAACATTTTATGTTTTGCCAATCCAGCAAGGAACCCATGACGAGAAGTTATGTCTGACTATTAAGACCCATTCTTTTTGCTATTTGGCACTATAAAAAGATTTTTTTACGCATTTTATAATTCTTCTCGTGAAACATTCTACGCCACAGTTGTACCGATTTTACCAAAACATTGTGGATAAATATATTACTCTAATATAAAGTTTTGGTTTAATAACGTCACTAACACTATTCAACCGCGACACGGCACCGTTATATTATATACGCAATGTAAAATTTCCAGTGAAATTGTAAACCAACGACACAAACCACATTCACCGCACAATGCTCTAATTACACCGTTATTCCTGTAATAATTAGATTAAAATAAAGGCACATTCCCTGCATTATTCTCTTAGACAATGTTTCACAATGAAATTATACTTCGGCGCTGGTGTAGCGTCGATTATGTGATACAAGCAAGCGGTACTAGCTCTTCAGTCGGAAATGTAATGTTATTTTTTTTCTTTGTATGTTGGTAATTAGCAAATAAAAACGACAAATAAGAATCGACTTTTTACTACTGTTTAGTTTAACGATGAATTCAAGTGTCAATAGCGGTGATGACGGGGTACAGTAAACGAAATTCTATTTAGTCCGTCAGTTAGATGATCAAAAAATAATGGACACATATTTTTTCTTTGGGCAATCAACCAAAAAATAACAAAGTTAGAACGCGTCAAAGTTTGGGAGTAGGGGCTCGTGACGTTTTTTTTTAAATGAAAATTGTACCAAAACGTGACGTCATGCGACTTTTCAAATCAATTTATCTCTGCAATGTTTATATTATGTGAAAAAAGAAAAAAATACGTGTCCAATACTTTTTGATAATCTACCTGATAAACAAAGAAAAAAAAAGTCATCATCCCTATTCAGTTAAATCGGGATACAAGGGTCAGTAGAATCAGTCGTTGTCATGTCCCAGCTATTGTGCAAAGCTCAGTAAGTCATCATCATCAGTCTATTTTGTCCCCACTGCTAGGGCACAGGTCTTCCCTATAGTTGGAATAGAGACATTGGGCCAGGTCCACGTGGTGGAGCCTAGTACGGACGCTAACGACTGCTGCAGCCGGGACCAACGGCTTAACGTGCCTTCTGAAGCACGGAGGAGCTCGAGATTGTAAATTTTTGATCACCTATCTAATGACTGACAAACTGCGAAAGTTGCTTAACTTCAAAGATCATAGCCGAACGCGCTAACCACTTACGCCATAGAGCTCCCCATCTATTTTAAGATTAATTAATTCATTCAGCATCTAATTTTCTCTTTCGTCAAAAATCAAAGTCTTTTCAGAATTTTCAAACGAAACGAATGTAACAGACAGTGGTTGTATTTACATCTTTGTCTTTATTTTATAATATTACTAGCTGACTCGGCGAACTTCGTACCGCCCAAAAGTAATAATTTGCAATAAATTAAAATTGCGACTATAATTTGAGATTTAAACTATCCTATCTCTCAAGTTGGATCGAACTGCACATGGTGTGCGAATTTTATTATAATCGGTTCAGTGGTTTAGGAGTCCATTGAGGACAAACATTGTGACACGAGATTTATATATATTAAGATTTACCGCCAGGTGACAGTTTCGCCTCGGTTTGTCTTTATACATTCCATGTAGGCAGAGTCGAAGGCATAAATGAATAAAACAACATAATAGCATTAAATAGTATGTTATTTTATTGCGATTCATCAGTGGACGGATGAATGGATGGATATACTATACAACAGTCATTTGTAGTTGGGATGATTTGTAAGGACTCGGATATACATAAACAATCTGAGCTTCTCGACAAACGATGTACTGAGATTTTTTATACATTGTTACTTAATGTAACAATTATATCCAAGAAGAAGAAACGAGATAAAACTTGGTCCTGAAATAGCAAGTAGCTTCAACCAGTATGGCAGAACGGTAATTTCATAAGTAAAGGCCTATTATTACAAGCATACTTTAACATAAAATTATTAAATAAATTTTCATCATTTTTTTTATTTTAGTATAGAAAAAAATATATTTGAAAAAAGTCTACTCTGTCGAGGTTTCTGGCAGCATTTTTCTTCTTCCAGGTTAGTTCTTTTAAATCTTTTTAAAGTTTGATTACGGTGTGCCACGTGTAGTGGGCCACGGTTCCTCAAGTTGTCCGTATTTCAACAAATGCCTAATGAGAGTTTATGAATGATTCCGAACACAACTAGCATTTTCTCATTGCTGTGCGTTCTGGGGCATTTAATATATGGGGAACGAGCAATGTCCTTTGGAAAAAAAACCCTACATGTAAGGGGGGGGGATCTTTTTCTTTTTTGAATAGGTCCTTTAAAACGACTTAGGGGTTGCTAAGATAATTTCGATTTAGCGATCCGTTTGTAAAATATTAAACATCTAAATGCAAATTTTTGATTGAGAGGCAGTAGGGTTGGTAGAGGGGGGAGACTCTAAAAGCTAAACTATTAACTTGAAAAATCTAAATCATAATAATAGTGCTTTTCATTAACTTTCACAGAAAATTATGACTGTTAAGATAGATCAGCTAGTTTAAGAGTAATAGTCGTTTAAATTGGGTATTAGAAAAAAACCTACCTTATAAAAAATCCTAAGAAGAACACATTAAAAGTGACTAATATGAAGTAATTGCTTGCTTATATCGCGTAGAATCTTGAATTGAAAAACAAAATAAAATATCTGAAGATCCCTACACTGCGCCTGGCACGACACGCACTTGGCCGGTTTTTATTGGATTGGAGATACCCTAAAATTAGTTCTATATTGGAAACAAAAATCCTAGCCTAAGGGTGAGGAAATAGGGGTGTTTGTTCAATTTGACGCCGAGTTGAATATTACAAAAATTAAAGCCACAAAAAATTAAACCGCCGTAAAAAAGAATCCTTTTTATCTTTAGCCAAATTAATATTTGGAGTTAGTGCCATGCCAACCCAACTAATAAATGGGAACTTAGATCTAGCAGATACGTATGGCACCGACTCCAAATATTGATTTGGCTAAAGTTAGAAAAGGTTTTTTATTTTTTCTGCTTTTCATTTTTTTCAGCGGTTTAATTTATTTTTGCTAAAAAGCTTTTATTATTTATCAATTGTGTGGTCAAAAACTATGTAGGAAAAATTGGAATGGACCAGAATGAACGCTAATGAAATCTTTGCACTGACGGATGTATAAGAATGACTTAGACATATATCAAAGTATATGTGTTATATGTATGTGCGTGTATATGTATTTATATATATTTATTTATATGTGTTTGTGTTTATATTTATTTAAGTATGATCGTATGTATAGTTAGGTGTTAGTATATTTGCTCATTGTTTGATTTTAATCTCTCTTTTTTTGAATCTGCCGATTTTGTAGCTCTGTTCTTTTCGGTTGAATGGTACAGAATGCCACTGCAAATGCAGTGTAAAGGCAAAAAATATTAAATGAATAAATATTTAAAGCTTATTAGTCAGGCATTATTATATTATTTATGTCAGACAAGAAATATTTTTTTTTAAAACATTACTAACATCGTTAAATCATTTCACTTTTTTTTATTTTACTTTTCATTACACTAATTATGTAAAAAATATTACTTTTATAACACAACTATAATAATATATAGCATATTAGGAATTTTTATATTAATGAGGATTTATAAATAAAACAATTTGTGAATAGGCCAAAACGATATAATCTATCAAATCAATGGAGTATATTATACAATTTGATATTATAATCAAAATTCGAGATAATTATGCACTCTCAGCTTACGAAACTGTGGACCTGAAAGCCAACACATTTAAACATTTTCATAATGTTATAGATAGATGTTCTAAAAATCACGATTTCAAACTAATGTATTCATCTCCTATTATTTAGAAAAAAATACATATTACTTTCTAAGTGCTTTAGGCTAGCTTGAAACTTTACTATAAACCACATTTGATATGTAACCATTATTATATTACAATGAATATTTACCCATTCAAATGAACGCTTACCTATGTAATGCATCTAATTCATTTAGGCATTCGTGAAAGTTCCGCTGAAAATAATATCACGTCCCTTTAAGATATAAAATAGGAATGGGTGATCCGCATTAAATTCGTATACAGGACGCTCTATTCCAACGGACGTAATAGCAGCTCCAACAAATACTGAAAGAGGTAATAAGTTTTACTTAAAATAATATAATACAAACAATTATTAGGACTTTAGACACCAGGAGACTACTAAAAACCTTGAATAATATAAATTATTTTAAACTTTTTTTCCACCCGCGACTCCGTCCGCGCTGAAGATAGTTTTTTTTTTGTAAAAAAGGGTATTTACATTGTATTATTTTTGAAAACAATTTAATTCATTTGACCTAATTCTGACATTGGTGAATAGTAATCAATTTTTTTAGCACGTTGTCAATGTTTCAACAAAATATGCTGGAAATGGATATGAAACAACATCTATTGTAACCATATTTTGGCAAATAAATAAATTCTTCTAGCCATTCTTAAGCTGCAAGGCAGCGCCATCTCTTCGCATTGTAGGTAACCCACAATGCCAAATGAATACTTTTACAAGTATTTAACATTTTTGGTCAGTGCATTCGCCTCAATAGCGAAGGGTGCGGGTTCGAGTCCCGTCTGCTGCCTGGTCCGCGTGGATTTTTTCTAGTTATATTTGATATAGATTTAAACATCAAGCAGTTACATGCTTAATAAAAAATATATAAATAAATGATTATAGTTGTTAGTTCGATTCAAGTTCATGGGTCTTTCTTACTTATTTCATTACTCTATATGTGATGTACACATGCTGGGTCTAGTATCAGAATACATCATACTGATATACTCAGAGACCATACCCAGCGTGTGTACAGGAAACTATTGGATCTACAGGTTTACATTAGTAGGTTATTGTGTTGGAAGTGGATGGGCTGGAATCTGGGCTATGGAAGTCTAAAGTCAGTGCCTATTTCATAGGTCCCAGATTGATAAAAATGGCAGATGGTGATTAGCCGGAGACTAATGGGCTATGAAGGTCGCAATGGCAAGGGAGCAACGCGGTCGTCAAGTACTCGGCTCGGGGGAATGGAAAGGTGTACAACGCTTTCTACCTGCTGTTTTCGTGGAAAACTGCCAACGTGCCAACTCGCGTCTTGCGATATGGTCTAATCTTGACGTCTTGTCGTGATATTATATTATACTATGCCAAACTTCATCGAAATCTGTTCAGTCGCTTTAGCGCAATATACTAACAAACATCCACATATAATAGGTTGGGGAAAAAGTCTTTTCGCATTATAGTATGTATGAATTTGCAATAAAATCTCTTGGGCTATACCATTTGTATCTGCCTGGTTTAGATTTCAAAGCAGATAATTCCAAATTCAAATTAGAAACCTAGGTGATTTTCATTTGCTTTTCTTACTGTCAAGATGAGAGAATGTAATGAAGAAATTCGATACTTTTAAAATTTTACTACAAAAAAGGTAATAATGCGTGCAGTGTCTGTAAGAGTAGCACTTTGGTTTAAGAGTTTTCAATCAGGAAATTTTGAAGTCAGAGATGCACGTCGCTTTGGTCACCCTGTTATGACTAAAATGGATGCCATTTTTGAAAAAGTGAAGCAAGATCGACATGTCAGTAGTTCCAATATACTCTCAGTTGATTCGTTAAAATATACAAACCTTTTCTCTTCATAAATTATGTAGGTAGGTATTATAGATTGGTGTTAAAATGAAATACTTACTGTTGGCAGCGGCCGCTTCTGTGCCAGTTTCATCTACTTGAATAAAAGCTTTTTGTATCGCAGTAGTTATATAAAGTGGTTCATATTTTTGTAAAATACCTGTTAAGTTGGATTTTTTTTCGTCAAATATATCTGTTATTCCTACCTGTACAAAAAATAAGATGCATTAATATGTAGGTACGTTATCATTGTACCATATTCGAGAGCTCTTCGCCCGTTCTAAAATTAATTGTATTTGTGGCGTGTATGTGCCTCCCTTCGGCTCAAAGGGAAGCTATTGACCGTTGAAAGGACGCGCGGGGGGGACATTTCGGCAGCGCCACATGCGCCCACGCAGGTGCGATGCGAGTCAGTCATTCGAAGAGTCAGTTAAGTTTGAAATGAAGTGTAATTATATAAACGCGTATTATGTTTCACTGAACCACACTCCACCCGGATGGTTACACATTATTTTTATTTGATGAATACATGGAGACTGAGCTAATGTTACGGCTTATTTTAAATTAAGTCTACATGTATACCTACAGCGTGGAATCAATTTTTGTATTATTAATCTTTAAGTATGGACGTGGAGTCTCACAGGCTACGCGCCGTTCTCAAGTTCTTAGTTTCACACACTTCCCCCCGCTTCTTGCACCTGAACATCTCAGTAGCTTAACTTCTAATAGCAAAATAGACAAAATTGAGGAGGTGGTTGTATCACTTGATGCATTGAACGTGAGTAATATTCATTGAAATATTGGCTGGAGCCTGTCAGGCTCCACGTCCAGATTTTTGTTACGAAAACTGGCAGAAAGTAGTAAAGTGAGTGGTTTTCGTTCAAAACAGCCAGAATAAAAGGGAATTTTAACCATAAGCCAAAGACAAAAGAAGTGTAATAAGCACAAAATTTGTGGGCGAGCTGAAGTCAACTATAGCTTGAATTTTTGGTAAAGATATGGTTTCCGAAGCTGTCCAGACACCACCAATCAGTATAGGAACTCGAACAGCTTATAGAATAATTCCCATGAAAAAGCATAGAATAACCACTTATGTTTCTGTGGTTTGCAGCAAGCCTCGTCCTTAATGTGCTAATTGCCAGTTAATGACAAATATAATGACTGCTGTCAGAATTTTAAATTTTTGTTACCAGAAGGAGCTTTTTTGTTTTTGTTAAAAAGGTTTTCTTTCTAATTAGACCTATATTCAGATATAGCATTGGGGTTAACGCGGTTAGGAATAAGTTTCTGAAAAAAAGTTGCATGTGAATACAGTAGCCTGAGATAATCCACGTCCGAACTAGTGTTAAAAATATTTGACGTCCAAACTTAAAGGTTAAGAACATAATTATTTTTCTGTAACTCTAATAGTGATTCCACCTATGTGAAGTAATTAGCGTCTCCATAGTGTATTTAAAAAAGGTTATAAAAATATTGTATGAATGGGAAGCAATCGACTACAGAAGTAACATTATATTTTATTTTAAGAGAGGTAGGGCATATCGGATTTCTTCTCGAACTGGAGCGCCTGTCTGTGGAAGTAACCTCCACCTTATAGAAGAGCACAGTAAAATAATACTTCCTTTTGGTGTTTGATGTCATTTAGATTGACACAATACAGCATATATTAATACCAACAACAACAACAACTAAAAATATTATTAAGAAACAAAATAGAGTTAACAAAATACATACGGTGTTATAAATGTACTAATGAAAATAGTCTAAGCAACATAAACGATTTTTAACTTTTGGGCGATTTTTATTTTTTTAAATTCTTTTATTCTTTTATAAATAATTACCAATTTGATTTATTAGTACCTCAAGCAAGAAAACGTTTGAATAAATTATACATTTCAAATCGATAATACCCTACAGAAGAGCACAGTAAAATAATACTTCCTTTTGGTGGTGTCGTGTTTCTGTCCATTTGTAAGGTTCCAGGGCTTTACGGGATAGGGGATTGTGTTAGGGTAGGCAATGCTGCGACTAATATTTTTAGTATCGCAAGCGTGTATAAGCTTTAGTGGAAGCTTACCATCAGGCGGGTCATAAGTATGTAACAATAAAATAATAATAATAGAATAAGGTCTTACCTTCCGCAATAGGTCTACTAGATTATATTCAGATTCGATTTTGATTTTCGGTAAGTGAATATTGACTTTCTCATAAGATGTAGCGTTATATGCACTGTAGAAAGCTTTTGGTTCTCGCAGCTTTTGTATTAAAGTACGCACGCCGTCCACAGGATTTGGTAAAAGTATAAAAAATGAGAAGCCTTCTCCCTTGTAATCCAATTCTAACATCTGAAAAGATACAAACATTGTTTACGTTATTGTAATAGTCTTAAATAGTTTTTCACAATGAAAACGGGATGATTATTTTATGATTTCAAAACATCATCTATACGTATCATGTGTACTGATTTATCTCACAGCTGTATTTAAAGTGGACTATTACTTTTAGATTTGATTAAAGTTAGTTTTATCACTTTTTTACGATATAAATTTTATAATAATTTATAATATATTATTATAATTGTTACTGATATAAATTTTCAGACTGCTATATGAAAGTTGCTTAACTTAAGTTTTTCATTCAATTTGAAATCGCATATTGAAGTTTCTTTCCTTACCTTACAATCTAGGTTATTATCTTCTCCATATTTAAAACTGCCCTGTTGGTACATAGTCGGAATTTCTTCTGATTTATTATCAGCCATGTAAAATGGACGGTTGATGGTGTTATTTGGATTGAACTGATCTACCCAGTTGCCCTTTGAAAAAAAAACAAACAATTAAAAAAGTTTTTTATGGGTTACTAGAAGTTTTCCCGCGTTTAATTAGTGACGTATTGGCAACGGTATGTTGTGATGTAAGTAATATAGTGTTTTGGGGTGTCTATTAGGCCCGTTTATATTCATGAATCATATTGCTGGGACCAAATAAGAGCACGTGCGTGACCTTTCAACTAAATTCTTCGATTATAATCGAACAATAATTATGTCAACTCCAAGTTATTAATTTTAAGCGATACAACTATATAATGTTATCAATACTTTACCAAGAAAAAGATGGCATTAACGATGACTAATCTTGTAAACTCGTCAAACATGTCAGGCGATGCGAGATCCTTTATGCGGTTGTTAGTGTTACTGGCGACCTAGATTAAAGAAAGCAAGAAAGAAAAAAGTTTTTATTAGCCCTTAAAATAACTGTGCAACTTTGTGTCACACCAGCGCTGAGATTCTAACCGGGCCTGTTTAGATTGACACTATTAAGCATAAATTAATATCAACAACAACAATTAAATATATTATAACAAACAAAATAGAGTAAACGAAATACATACGGTGTTATAAATATACTAATGAAAATAGTCTAAGCAACATAATCGTTTTTTTTTAATTTTTTTCCGATTTTCATTTTTTTTAAATTCTTATATTCTTTTGTTAATAATAACTAATTTGATTTATTAGTACCTAAAGCAAGAAAACGTTTGAATAAATTATACATTTCAAATTGATAATATAAAATAGCAAATGATAAAACTTGCAGTTTGTGTTAATGGTGCATGTTGCTTAGACTTTTTTGATGGGTGTATATTTTATATCTTGTTCATTTGTCATTCATATATGTTACTTTTTGAATGGGTAATAATTTATTTGGCACATAAGTTCAATCTGAGGATTAAAAATCGGCTTTATAGAGATTTCTCAAATATAGTATAGGAAGAAACACTCTAATTGTGTGGCGAGTCAAAGTAGATTTATTCAGTCGTATAATCAATGAGACTTCATATTTATTACGGTTCACAAAGAGCTTCAGTCCACACTAATATTTTAATCTATTCTAATGGTTTAAAATACAAAAAATAACTTTGTCTGTCTGACTAGCTAGGCTGTTACTCTTTGAAGCCTAACCGCAAGTTGAGTATGCTATAAGTCATTGCTCATCGATTATGAATATTTAATAGAAAGTTTAACATAGGTACCCATGCATTGATTCTATTAGCTGCGTCTTGAGGAACCAAAAAGTTTAAGGCCTCCACGCCAGCTTCGAAGGTGTTATTCATATCATCCAGGAAAGATGGTGAAAGTGGATATTTTTCAGTGAAATATGTTCTCGCTGCCAAATTAAGTGTAACGTCTTTGCTAGATTTTAAACTGTTCGTCAACTTCGGGAAGACGCATCTGATCTGTGAAATTGATAATGAACATCGTTAAAAGCTTGGTTTAGATAAAGCATCAATATAGGTAACAATAGATACAATGCAGTTATGATAAACATATATTGTCACTCGTCTTTAATAAAAAAAAACTATTTTTGTGCTCAAAATTTTCAAAAATATAATAACACTGTAATTAAAGTAAAATAATGAACTGAAACAATTTTATTGTGAAAATTTCTAAGATGCACTCAGGAACAAAAGTGACTTTATTCTTTAGATAGCTAATTTAAAAAGGTGGGGTCAAAATCAAAATCACTTTGGGCCTAACTTACGTCTGCTTTGGTTCGCAGGTTTAATGTTTTCATAAGTTGTTCATGCGTCACGCCTCCGGAATAAGCACCCAATACACCAAATGGTACGAATATGGATATAGCTGACATTATCAAACTATTTTTAGGAGTTGTCATGTAGGCTTCCTAGAAATAAGATCGGATTAATCAAAAATTAAAAAACAAATGCTAAAAGTAATAAAATTGCGTGGATATATGGAACACTCGGTTGGAATGAAGTTAAAAATATTTATATACCACCCACCAGTCCGCAACTGGCTCGCGTGGCGAGTCAATCTTCCTATTCCACAAAAAAGTATCCTACTGTGCATGGAAGTACGGGTTGGGCCCAGTGCGGATTGGTCCCTGTGGGGATTGGGCCCTCCCCTTATTATCTCAATATCCCCGATTCCTTAAAAAAAGGATTCTACCCACCACTTCCCAGTGGGGCCGCGTGGTGGGTTATGGCCCGATCCCCCGATTCCGTCACACTATTAACCCACTTGTTACTATCGTTTGATATACGGATCATTATACAAACAAAAAAATATACGATGTAGATAGTTTCGAATTGAATTGTTTATATAACACGTAAACTGAGGAGTCCCTTTGTCGGTCTGTTGTGTTAGGAGTTTTATTGAGAAAGATATTTGAACTGGGTGTGTTTTATTATAATCGTCAATTTTATGACGAGTGTTTCAAGGTGAGCACAGACATGAATTATTTTTATTTTTGAGTAATTCAATCAATTCAAGTAATCAAAATATTCAAAATTGTAGTATACTATTTATAAATAGATAGCAAACTAATCTATTTTCTAATATCAATAAAATCTGTTGGTAATTCAAATTATTAACTTAGTGTTCCGTTAAAAGAAAGCTTGTGATATGGACTGTTGTATTTTGCTGTCTTAGGTCAAGATCTAAAAAACATAACTAAAAAAAGTTATTTTTGAAGTGATACTTCTTTACGGGGGGGGGGGGGGTAAGCTGGCGAACGCGTTACGAAAAGTGTGTTCGGACGAGGCGAACGGGAGTTGAGTGGGCGATATAAGCAAGAGAAAGCAGTGGACGCACATTTTTTTCTCTCTTTCTCTTATAGCTAGTAAATGAAATATGTATATGTACATACATGTATATATTGTACACACACATTTTGAAATAGATATATATATATTTTGATATATACTAAAAATTAAAAAATGTTAGCGCACTTTATCAATCCATAATATTTTATGTGTTGTGTAATAAAATACACCGTTTTTATTTTGAATAAAAACTATCAACTGTCGTCATATAGTTCGACTATATGACGACAAAAAAGTTCGATAATGTCGACATTATCGAACTTTTTTCTTTCAAAAACATCTACATGTCCGTGAGCATAATTGGTCAGTGCATTCGCCCGGATTGCGAAGGGTGTGGGTTCGAGTCCCGTCTGCTGCCTGGTCCGCGTGGAATGTTTTCTAGTTATATTTACTTTAGATTTAAACATCAAGCAGTTACATGCTTAAAAAAATTAAATTATAGCATCTAGATGTATTTATTTGGTTATTTACATTTAATCGAACTTTTTTAATAGTAATAGATGCCGAGTCGTACATTCTATATCGCACTTTTTTCTAAAAGTCTAAAATACCATATCAAGTAACTTAATACCTTTCAAAAGTTATTATTGAAAATGACGCATCGAGAGTAACAAAAATAATTAGATATTACTGTTTGATATTGAAACTCATTTCTTTATTTGTTGAAATGACATTAACAAAAAAATATTGTTTGAACATTGTTTGGACAAGAGCAAAATTTTACGAAAATAAAATTCATAATGAATTAAAATGGCAAGTTTGACCCTGGAGCAAAGGGCTGAAATAATATTTCCCTTCGAAGATGGACATAGTATTAGTGATAGATCACGCAAACTCAATATATCGCGATTCACTGTGAGGTTTTGGATCCGACGTCACGGCGAAGAAGGGCAATTAACAGATCATAGAAATAATTCAGGACGACTTTGCGCGACAACATCTAGATTTTGATTGGTCGGATACTATATTTTTTTTTCTATTTATTTGTGGTTACAAACAGTCATACATTTTCATATAATTGTTCTGTGGTTACAGTGAAATTATAAGAGACGATACTTACCGATGAGAAAACCTTTAAATCAAGCCAAATCGGAAGATTAAGAAATCGTTCCTCAAAACGAGTAAGGTCGCTTAACAGTAAACTTATGGGGGTGGATGAGCACATTTGATTCCCGCAGGCGCACATTACTTATGTTCCAGATAATGCACGGATACACACGGCCCGTGCTACTATGGCGTGCAACTTGCACCGTGACATTCGTCCCATTCAATGGCCTCGGTCTGCTGATTTAAACTCTTTTGAAAAGTTTATGGGGGCTTATGGTTCAACGCTGGGATTGTCAAAATGAAAGGAACCCTCATGATCTTAGATCATTGTGCTCGAGTATGGGATGATATCTATGCGCGTGTCTTGTTGCATCTATGCGAGATAGACTACGTGCCGTCATAGCTGCAGAGGGAGGTTATACTAGATATTAAAAATAAACATTTTTTAAGTTTCTATTTTATTATTTCTTCATATTCTTAGTTAAAAAACTATTCGTTTTTTCAATGGTTTTCTATATTTGTTTGACATGACGGCTAGTGCAGAGGTCGTCGTCTACTGCGCAACGGGTCGCGGGTTCGATTCCCGTACGGCACAGATATTTTGTGTGACCTACAGATAATTTGTCCTGGTCTGGGCGTATGTGCAATGTGCATATGAGATTATATGTTTGTAATTACACCCACAATACAGAAGAAAATCCTAGTGCGAGGCGAAGTGTTTAAAATTATATTATACATATATATCAAACCTTGATAGTAGTCAGTCCATCTCCTAGAGCAATTGATTCTCATATCATGAAAAAAAAAGTTAATCTATGATCAATCAAATTATTATGAAATAGACATTTAGAAATTGTGACCTAAATGTGTGCATGCAATTATGATCCTTAAGGTGGTAAACATTTTCTGACCGCGACCGTATTATATTATTTCCTTCCTTTTTTCTTATTTATCGTTCGCAGAATAGTTGCCATTTGGTACGTAGAAATTTAATTCAGTTTGGCCCAGTAGTTTTCTTTTTATGAGCATTTTTGTTGGACTTGGACGTTGTAATTTTCAAAATACATACTTTGTATACGGCTTATTTAGGGGTTTTTGTGTACCTATGTGTAAGCGCTTAACACTAAAATTGATGAAATAAATATTATTTTTTAAGAATTAAGAAAATCAAAGTGACTACAAAATGGAACTAAAAAGTAAAATTTAATACCCAATTCACATGAAATCATGAAATCGGGTGGGTTCTAGTATGATTAGGAATTCGGTTGGCGCCAAGATTAAAACTAATTAAAAATTAAATCTATTTCATGTTTTAATGTATTTTTTTAATTTCGGATTTTCAAGACCATTTTAATTTTTTATTTTATATCAAAGAAACGATATTAAAGATCATCAAAGGCTACTAGGAACAAAAGACTTTTTAATGAGTCTCCGATATTCCGAAACTCATAAAAAACAAGGTACATGGTAACAATCCTGTTAAAAGCTATAAAGTTAGATTTATTTAATATTTTTCGTGATTTAATTATGTTTTCATTAGTATGTGTATGAAAAATTACAGAGATTCTGCGAAAAATGTACATCCGTAACAAGTGGGTTGTGTGGGTGACTAACCACAGCCACCACCGTCAGTGGTTGCTCACCTAATTGCCCATCTAGCTACCAAACAACCTGCGTCGCTAAATTGTGACGAAAAAATCTTACAAATTCTTCGCCAAGCTCCCCCATCCGCCTAAAATATTAATATTAATAATAACAAATAAATCATTTCAGTTTAATCATGTTACGTACGTATAGACATTTTGCAGTAAATATGGCATTTCCCTGTCGTAGTAAATCTAAAGCGTCATCAGAGCATTTTTCTGGAACTTCAGGGGTCGTATTCTCAGCTGAAAATAATAGTAATTTTATAAAGTATTAGCACGTGATGTAACCTAGGAAAAGAAATAGGAAGGCTTATTTAATAATTTGCGGAAACTTTTATTGAATACCTAATTTTTAATATACTTTAAATCTTTAATAGTTCTAAGCCCTCTCACCTCGCTTCAACATATAAACAGTCATGTGTGTTTTTTAAAATCCAAAATGCTTTAACTTTAGAACAACCGATTGCATTATAAATATCATTGAAATTGGACACAAAGAGAACTATTTCTTTTCTTTTCTTACAGGTACAACTACTGATGAACTCCACTCACAACATTACTGTAAGAAGACGTGTTGTGTTTCTTCGTTCAAATTAAATCTAACGTTACTACTCTACTCGGGAACAAAATGGGAATGTGGCTCAACATGAGACAGCTCTACCTATCACCGGAACTCGCAACAATGATTCACATCATGTCAATGCAGTCATGATTACAAACCCAACTGCAAACTGCAGCAACCGACAGCAGCGCCGTTTTCCAGTTGGTACCGAGCCCGTGAAATGAAACTGTTTCATAGTATTTAAGAGATGTACAGTACAGTGCGGGATATTGGGCCATCTTATTTATCAACTTATTTTCTTCGGAGAAATTCCTTTTTTTATAACTTCAACGTATTATTGCTCCATTCTTGGTGCCACTACTGGGGCCATTCGCCTAACGAAAATGCTTTGGAAAAAGCTAACGCTTTCGATATTATTTTGTTATTTCTGATCGCCGAAGGTTTTCAAATACCTCACGCTTATTTCTATAATATTGTTATTACTAATGCAAAAGAAAAAATAAGAGCGCGAGGCATTTGAAAACCTCGCTAGAAATAACAAAATGAAATCGTAAGCGTGAGCGTTTTCCTAAGCTTTTCCTTTAGGCGAATGGCCCCCTGATCGTCTTCTCAAAGCGCCGACGACATATCTTTAGCTACTATAGAGGATATTCTTAAACTTTTAAAACTTTTAGAAACTAAAATTATCCATTTTAACTACCTACCTATATATGTATATAAGGTAATTTCCCTCCATGTGGCAAAGTTTTGAGATATCCTGTATAGTTATTTTTATATAAGTACCGAAAGTGTAACAATATATCATGCATTCGGTATCGCAAGCGCCTACTGACTATAGCAGCCACAATACCACCAAGTGGACCATATGCAGAAATGACGACTCTATAATAAAATATCACTTACGACAGTCTTCCCAAACCACGCAGTTGCCCTTGTTGTCCCTATAGTAACCACATTCGCAGCGGCAAGCTGGTGCAGGGCAGCCAGGGTCACCAGGCTCTAGTTCGGGTACGCAGTCAAGTAGTCGGTCGTCGATACCGCATTTCCTCGCTGGACAGGAGCTCGGACAAGAATCGTAGTACTCATTCGGTTTTGGACATAAATCATCTATAACGAGATATTTATTTCTTAGTATGTATATGTTAGTATGTCGACAAAAAATCTTGTCATAAGCTGGTCATATTATGTATGCGAGATGACCGAATTCACATACTAAACTTTTAATTTTTATAGACTTTTTTGTAGACGCATTTATTTGTACTCATCGCACAAATAAATGCTTCTACCAAGATTACATTAAATGCGGAAAGCGCAGGACCGTTGTGTATGGAAATCCTTTGAGGAGGTCTATGTCCAGCAGTGGACGTCCATCAGCTAATGCTGGTGATGATGTCCAAGATTAGAACTGTTCAACGAAAAAAGAAGGAACTTTACCGTTGCACCAATCGGTAGTGATGGTTCAAGTAAAGTGAAATCGATATTAAAAATAAAGGTATCTTCGTAGTTATCAGGTTTAGTTAGTTCAACTTACCGTAACATCGATCCCTGGGGATGCAGGTACCGTTCCGTGCTCTCAAAAAACCTTTCCTGCAGACGTAACCACCGACACACTCGATAGGGTCTATGCAGATATCGGGCTGATCAATCTGAGTGCAGTTTCGTTTCTCGCAACCGAAATCCCCACAAGGAGACCACACTTCATTCTTCTTAGGTTTAGCTATGCAAATAACAAAATTTGATGCTACTAATCATTACGAAACTTATATCGCACTCTGACTGTATTGACGGCCGAGAAATCAATTGATTTCAAGTTTGTGATGGTAACATCTATTCTATACGGTCCATATTCCATTCAACCTTTACGATAATCGTAGAATAAGACATCAGGCGGAATGAAGCATTAAAGTTGACTTAGGAAGTAACCTTTATTTTACATAAAATACAATATACACCAGTCAGGTCATAAGTATTGTCACACAGTAAAAACTTTTCTTTTAGAATGCTGGCCACAAAAAAGCTTACTGAATTCGAATTTTGAATTATTCATGAAAATAAAAATGTACACTTTTTAAAATTTTACTCATTTTTAAATTTGGTGTGGACGCTTAAAGAAGACCGTGTTGCAGTCATTGCGTTGCATCGTTGCGGTTACGCGCCAATTCAAATTTTTGACATACTGAAAAATTTGAATATAACCAAAAGATTCGTTTATCGTATCATCAAACGATACAATGAAGACTCTAGTGTTGATGACAGGCCAAGAAGTGGTCGCCCTCGGTCTGTTAGGACTCCAGCAGTGATAAAAGCTGTGAAGGCTCGAATTCAAAGAACTCCCAAACGTAAGCAGAAAATGTTGGCCCTTCAGATGGGGTTAAGCAGAACCATGGTGTTAAATGAAGCTAAGGCTTCGGGCATATCGAAGAAAAACAGGACATCGTTTGAATGCTTGTCTAATGGACCTGAGGCTGAAGAGATGCCGCACTTTGTACGCGGGAAAAAAATATCGGGAAATTCTTTTTTCGGATGAAAAAATTTTTAGCGTAGAAGAGAGCTACAACAACAACAAATGATAAGGTGTACGCACACAGTAGTGAAGAAGCAAGCAACCGTATTCCGCGTGTCCAACGAGGTCTTTTTCCATCCTCGCTCATGGTATGGTTGGGAGTTTGTTATTGGGGCTTAACAGAGGTAATTTTTTGTGAGAAAGGTGTAAAAACGAATGCAGGTGTCTATCAAAATACAATCCTGACGAACCTTGTGGAACCTGTTTCTCATACCATGTTCAATAACAGGCACTGGGTATTCCAACAAGATTCGGCGCCAGCTCATAGAGCGATGAGCACACAGGACTGTCAGGCGGCGCGTGAAATCGACTTCATCCGGCACGAAGACTGGCCCTCCTCCAGTCCAGATTTCAGTCCGTTAGATTACAAGATATGGCAACACTTGGAGGAAAAGGCGTGCTCAAAGTCTCATCCTAATTTGGAGTCACTCAAGACATTCTTGATTAAGGCAGCCGCCGATATTGACATGGACCTCGTTCGTGCTGCGATAGACGACTGGCCGCGCAGATTGAAGGCCTGTTTTCAAAATCACGGAGGTCATTTTGAATAAACTTTATTGTTATAAGAATTTATGTTTTGTTAAGTTCATTTCGGTATATAAATGGTTAAATAATGAATAAACTTGTTTCAATTATTTTATATTAAACATATGACAGAATTTATGACCTGACTAGGTATAATAGTAGGTGTATTCATTGGCAGCAGCCTTCTATAAGGTATGGGTTTATTTGTGTTAAAAAGTTAGGTTATCATAGGTCAACTTCCACAGGGTAGACCAATTAAGTTAAATCAAGTCGGTAAAGTAGGGACGGCTGAAACTGCATTTTTTCTCATACTGTTTTTTTGGCGGATCTCTGGTGGTGAATTTTGTGGTCCTACCATAGACAGAGCCAGTTAGGTGCCACGTGGCGCGATGCTAAGCGCGGTGCGATTTAGCGATAAGTTCATTGTCTAACTAAGGGACTGTGTAAAACGAAATTGAATCTCCTATATTCATCGCACTGCGTCGGGCCGCGTCGCACCATGTTTGCTGTGCAAAGCTAAGCATAAAAAATGGAAGATCACTCACAACACTGTTTTGGTAAAACACATTTTCTTTGTTTGTCATCATAAACATAGCCCTTTTTGCACTTACAGCCATTCCGGTCACAAGGGCATTTCATAATAGTTTTAATATTTTTATCACAACGTCGTGTTTCACACTGAAACCCGCAGCCTGGAATCGCATTTCTATCGCCTCCACAGGACGCTGTAAAATTGAGCAATTGGGCAATAGTACATCTATATAAATAAAAATAAATCACAATCACTTTCGAACGATTGAATCAAATTGTATAATATTTTTTTGTTGTGTTTGTTATTGACAGAACATGGTTTGTATAAAAGATTATAGATATTAACGGGATTGTTACCATGTACCTTGTTTTTTATGAGTCTCCGATATTTCGGCACTGTTGCAAGCGCCATGATCACGGAGTAACAACAAAACAAACAAAAAACAAGGTACATGGTAACAATCCCGTTAATATCTATAATGTTAGTGACCATGAAAGTTTAAAACAATATGTATAAAAGATGTTTTTCAAAAAGTTACGGCAAAAATTATTGATTTAAGAAATATTGTTAACATAAAGTTTGTTATTCCGCCATATTCCGCAATTGATACCTCACGTCACGACATGCATGAGTTAGCTTTGACATTCACTATAAATCAGTGATTTACCAGATTTATAAAGAAATATAACAAACATTGCGAGACAATAGCATACACTAATATATAATTATAGAAATTATGTTTATGTTTGGCTAGGAGGCAGGAGGAATATGATCAGAGTATCAATATCATAGTTTTTATTTCAATCTATATATATAAAACTCAAAGGCACAGCCCAAACCACTGGACGGATCGGGCTGAAATTTGGCATGCAGGTAGATGTTATGACGTAGGCATTCTCTAAGAAAGGATTTTGATCAATTCTACCCCCAAGGGGATAAAATAGGGAATGAAAGTTTGTATGAAACTTTGTCAATTTTAAATCGATCGGGCTGAGACTTTGCATGCAGGTATAAGAAGAATCATAGATGAATGTCATTATGTATAATACAAGCCTGAGAACAAAAACTGTAGTCTACACTTCAGCTCTACACCGAAGCGAAGCGAGGGCGGGCCGCTAGTATGACATAAATCTTAATGTAATGACTGCATTTATTTTTGGTTTCCAAAAAAAATAAACTACTCTTAACAGTGAGTCGTAAGGGTCGACTAAGAATATTGGGTAACAACCTGGAAACCAATCTTTAAAATATGTTCTAGTAATGTTCTACTCTCTGGAGCTCTAGAAATTTTATTCACTGCTAGGTGTCGCACGCGACACATAAAAATAATGTTAATTGACTGCAGACCTTAAATTCCCCACATATAAATAAAATGGTGTTTTCTATGTGTACAGTACTATTATTAGGTACTAGCTGAACCAGTGAACTTCGTACCGCTTACAATAATTTGGAAGAAATGAAAGCTATCCGTTCTTCAGGTACACAGCTTTTACTATAGTTAGCAATTGTTTGGAGAAATCTTCTGTAGATTTATGGTACGGCAATGTAACTCTCTTATTACCAGCTGAAAAATCATTACAAGGCGTAACAAATTGATTAAAAGAAGCCCTTATTTCATTGGCAGAAGTTGATCGCGGAATAACACACTTACACCCCCCTCCCCTCCTCACGTAAACATTAGTACCTATATGCATTTTTCTTTTAATGGTTTCCATTTTTTTATTGAGCTTTAATGAGCTCCATGAGCAGCAGTAAATAGGCTTTAAACTTATTTATATTTTTATAAGGTAAACGAACAAAACAAACTTCTTTCGAATTTTTGGTATAATATTAATTCCAATTAACTGTCTTCAGTCAGAAGATCAGAATCCATGACGCTGACGTAATCACTACCTCGACCCCCACCCCCCCCCCCCCCCTCATGTCATCAAAAATAAGCAATGCAAAGACCCCAGTGCTTACGTAATACTTGAACAGCCCCAAGGCTTGAAACTAGAATCATACTCAATGTTAAAATTCAAACCATATTTTTATTTAAAATGGTTGACAAACAAACATAAATTATTATGGCACGCCAGAAGGTAAACGATTACCACAGTGTATAGATGTATTTGTCAAGTTTCGCGTCCACATCTCTTTCATAGTGTAGTGCTTTCAATTTATGATGGCACATAGTGACGTACCTTGTTTGGAAGTTGGAACTTTATAGAACTCGCGCGTCGTCAAGAATTGAATGCATTTGAGCTACATGTTGCACGGTCTAGTATGAATTGATTCATATAAATGCACGTGATGTTTTGAATCTGTGTCTTGCACGAGGCTCGGGAACGGCAAAAGAGCGACCTGGCATTGTATATTAATATAAATCGTGTTTATTCCTGCGTTGTCTACCTAATACCTCAAGCATGAACCTTGACAGATCCGTTTTCGTATCGCCAACGTCAAAGTAAGAACAAACTAGCTTTCTCCATAGAAACTTTGACATAGTGTTACGAAAACTATTTAGCTTCCGAAACGATTCTCATTGTAGTAGTAATATTGATATTTAAGTGTAGTTTACCTTGTCTAAGGTGAACTTCTCCAGTCGGGCGCACTAGTCACAGCAAAAATATTGCAGTAACCTCTAATTTTTATAGGAAAAGAAGCAATAAATTTCAACTTGAGTCTTTTCGGAGACACGATAAGCCGTTGGTCCTGGCTCTATCTGCAGTCGTTAGCACCCACCAATCCGCACTGGGCCCGCGTTGCGTGTCACGGCTCAATCTCCCTATTCCATCCATTGGGAAGGCAGCTCTGATGATGATGATTCATGTTCAAAACATTTTCCTGTCAAATTACTTACGGCACTGTTGCTTCGGCACGCAGACTCCTTTGTTGTTCCTCAGGTAGCCGTCAATACATATGCATTCAGCAGGCTTATGGCATGGTCCACCTGGCCCCACTATGGGACAGGGAACGGGGAACCCAACTTGTTTGCAACTCAGAGGTACACAGAGAGTTTCGGGACACTTCACTAATCTTTCGTTTTTTCCGCAAGGATTACCTGAGAATTTAAATCATAAAATAAGAGAGCCAATGATATAGATTCTGGCATGATTCTATAAAGTTAAGACTAATTTTAACATCAGTCTCTCTCCTTTTCATATAAAGAGAGTGACAAGGATACACTGTTGTCAAATTAAAGTTTAGGTCAAGATAATCATGCTAGAATAGACACCAATGTTCATTATAAATGTCTTACATGAATTATTGGTCTCCGGAATTCCGAACGCAGGGAGACCAACCATTTATCTATGATAAATACTTAATATATTATTGATAGTAATTTCTTACAAAAATATTAGGAGCTAACAGCTGGTAGCATGCTAGTAGGATGATAAATAAAGCAATAAATACGTGACATGAAACGCACCTGGGTGGCTTTGATGACCTTCGTGGCCGAGTGGTTTGTACGCCAGGTTTCAAGGTGTCGCCTACTCGAGAGGTCCCGTGTTCGAATCCCGGTGGGGGTAAATCTTTGTGTGATGAATACGAGCAGTTTATTCTCCAGACATGGTTGTTTAATATGTATTTCTATAAAATTAATACTATCAGTATATGTGTTACCCCAGTATCCCATAACACAAGCCTGCAGTACTTACTTTGGCGCTAGGCTTATTGGTCTCAGTGTTGGAAATATTTATTTATTTTCCAATTTTTTTAGGCGGCAGTCGTAGCAGTTTGGCTAAAGATCTCAATATCGTTATCGTTAAGAATTGGAAGGATTATGTGTTATTTATAAATAATTTAAGCAATTTCTAATTGGATGGTTTTGTATATATAGGTACCTATTTAGGTTGGGGAAAAAGTTTCTTCGTATTTTTTATTTGAAAATTCAAAACATTTTTGAAGTGAACACTTCTTTAGCGGGGTTGTACACTTTTCTTGTATGGGTAAAAAATGTTAAATTCGCGTCAGGTTAAACACGTGGGCTGATCGCATCATGACACACAATAAAATTGGAAAGGTTGTTGACTTTCAATATATTGGACGAAACATAGTAATATTTTATTTTATCGTATTATAATAATAAGTCTCTATCTAGGACGTCCACGTGGCAGCTATAGTGCGAAGAATATGGATTTTTTTACAATAGATGTTGCTAGGTGCGCTTAAATGTGATTCATGTAAGTTGATTTTTTCACAACAGATGTCGCTAAGTGCGCTTAAACGTGATTCATGTAAGTTGATTTTTCTGAGAGATTTATAAACTTTTTTAATGTAATATAAATTGTCATGTTTGTGTACGATAGCGCTGTATAGAAATATTATGTCTACTACATACATATGATAATTAAAGCCATTCGTGCAAATCATTCCCTAACCATTCCAAAATATCAAAAATGTACAACGTTAATATTCAAGTTTTCACTTCTGTCGGCATTCTCGGAGTGCAACCCGTTGTTTTTTTTTTAATAAATTTTATTAACATTTAACTAAAGTATGTAGGTGCCATTTTGTTCGATAACTTTTTGCCATCTTGTAGGTAGAGGCATGATCTCATTGCTGTAGAAACTTTTGGGCTTCTGATCAAAAAACCTCGACAAGTGGTTTTGGCTAAAAACTAAAGAAATCTGAAGAGACCGAAACAGGTGGAAGTCTAAAGATACAAGGTCAGGACTATACAGCGGATGCATTAACACCTCCCACTCAAACTCTCATAATTTTTGCTGAGTGGTTAAAGATGTGTGAGGTCTAGCGTTATCATGATGAAGAGGCACACCCCTTCTGTTGATTAATTCTGGCCGCTTTCTCAAAACTTCTTGCTTTAATCTCATCAGTTCTTCGCAGTAGAGCTCAGAATCGATGATCCTGCCTGGCGGTAACAGCTCATAATGAATAATGCCCTTCCAATTGGTGGGATTTTGGGATATTGGACACACAGTTTCACTTTCTTACGAGTTAACCCGGATTTCGCCACAGTCTGTGAAGCCTGACCGACCTTTGACCACGACCTTTTTCGATCATTCTTGTCGTACGTTATCACGTACTTTTCATCACCAGTTATCAGCTCTTCCAAAATCGTTCGGTTTCATTACGTCGTAATAAAGAAACACAAATTAGTACTCGGTTCATTAGGATTCTTTCAGTGAGCTCGTGAGACAAAATAAAATAAATAATAATACCTAAATATCGAGTTTTTTTGTGTATCCAGCTTTTTCATATGCGCCAAAACTGTTGTGTAGTCAATTCTCCATTCTTCAGCTACGTCGTAACTACTGCTCCACTTTTTCGAAAATGGCATCCATTTTATTCGTACAGGGCGACCAGAGCGACGTGCATCTTTGAGATCAAAATTTCCGGATTGACAACGCTTAAACCAAATTTGTGCAACTTACACAGACACTGCATGAGGTCCATAAACATCACAAACTTTTTTCGCGGCTTGCGTTGCATATTTGCCCTTTTAATAGTAAAATTTTAAAATGTATCGAATTTATTTATTAGATTCAAATGAATATCACATATTTTTCTAATTAGAATTTAGAATTATCTTCTTTAAAATTTAAACTTTTTAATGATACCAAAACCAGCCAGATAAAAACAGTTTAGCCAAAGAGATTTTATTACAAGTTCATACATACTAGAATGCGAAGAGTTTTTTCCCAACCTATTTAAATTTTATATAATTTTACTTACATGCTGCGCTTTCGGCAGGATTGACATCGCCTCCTACAGTAGACAAGTACTTTCTATGAGTGTTATATAAATTCTGACATTAAATAAATCTAAATATATTTAATTTAGATGTTGGAAATAATGCAGCCGTCATTCACCTAATATTTTTTTTAATAAGTAGTAATAAGTCAAAATTAATACATTTATCATATTTCTGGATTAAGACACTTTATAAGAAAAACATGACCTGTAAAATGTATAATTGACAATATTATTTTTCACTGAAAAGCGGTGTTAGAATAAAATCAGAATAAATATTAAAAGGCCTTTTTTCTCGGTAAAGGACGTACTCAACTCAAACAAATATAATTATGAAAACTTATGAACAATCTATTTAATAAGTAATTAACAGAGATTTGTGTTTGTTTAGAGATGAAAGATGAAAGATGCTACCTAATGAAATGAAAATAAACTTCATTCAAGTTGACTTATTAAAATCTCTTTTGAATCGTCCGTATACTTTTCCGGACATCTTAAGAATATGTAACTAAAAAAAAAAACTACACGGACCAGGCAGCAGACGGGACTCAAACCTGCACCCTTCGCTATCCGGGCGAATGCACTGACCAATTATGCTACCGCGGCCCTGATAGCCGCGGCGAAATTCCTCTAGCCATTCTTAAGCTGCAAGGCAGCGCCATCTCTTCACATTATAGGTAACCCACATATCAAATGAATACTTTTACAAGTATTAAACATTTGAAAGAAGAGATAACAATTATAGTTATATTTTTATTTTTAAGCATGTAAATGCTTGATGCTTAAAGTTAAAAAAATATAACTAGAAAAAATTCCACGTGGACCAAAAAAATTATAATCTTATATACTTATTCCGATTAAAAAGAAGTCTAAAAATTATCGGTATAACTGAAATGCGCACCTGCATAAGAAAGCGTCATAAGACACACATCACAAATTAAAAATATCAAAAAATGGTTAAACATTATCACCGCACCACTGTAATTGTCCTTCTGTAAAAGAATGGCCACATCTTTTATAGTAGACGTTAGCAACTTGCACAATTGTTTCAACAAGCCAAACAATAAGATTAAATGTTTGTAAGTATACTTTTCTATAAATAATGTTATACACATTGCAGCAAGCAATGAATAAAATATATATATATGAAGAAAATGACTTCTTCAGTTTATTTTTTCACATGTTTCTTAAGCGGGCTACTGACATCCCTGCCGCAGAAGCAATCTAGGGTATAAGAGTGGGGATGACCCTTGTTTTCTAAATCGGGCCTGCGGCAGGGCGGCAGGAGTGCGAGCCGCCCTTGGTCCCTAGATTGTCCCTGCCGCCATGCACGTTGCCACGTGTGTAGCGCGAACGGGGCAATTTCTCAATCAGTTGGTAACAGTCACTCGGAGAGCATGTATTTCGATCAAGATGGCGGCAGAACATAATGAGCATGAAGTTTGATCTCGAGTGACAGAAGTATATACAGGGCGTCCCACGGCTACCTCACACGGAGGGAAAGTATATTAAATATTGCAGATAGGATATTTTACTGAAAGAAAACATCATTTTATTTTTAATTATAATTAGAACTGCATTCACAGATTTTTTTAAAATCGCCTGCTACAACTGGGAATCAAACTAGTGAAATTTCGAAAAAAAAACACGACATATTTTATGATAACCATCGAAAGGGTTAATCATAAGGATTATTTTTTGCTTAATAACATAGCGTTATAAATGAAAGGAATGTCTTATTACGTGATAAAAATAATAAAGTGATATACAAATGTAGTACGTTTGCATTTCTTCTTGAACTCACAGTTACAATGCGATTGGCTGAAATTTATAAAAATAATAATTCGAAAATTGAACACATACATTTTCAAGCGTCTGTTCTTTTGTTCTTTGTGAGTTTCATTTTCGTTTATTTACAATTTTTTGTGAATTTACTTACAATGGCGTATCAAAATAAAATGGATTTAATGGAAGCTTACTTTATGAACCACAAAGTCATATTAACTTTGCGGTGGTAAAGATATCCTGATGGAGACGTACCTGCTCGATATGTGTTTGAAAGGTTAATGGATACTTAAAGAAATTTAGGACGTTTCGAAACCACAGCAGCGGATGATAAACGTCAACGATGATTAACTCAACATTTTAACTTACTTTGAGGCGTATCCGATTTTATATTAGTTTGTGTTAAATAATTTTAAATAAAATATTAAATTTAATTACTTTTCTTTCATTTAAAATGCTATGTTACTAAGCAAAAAATAATTCTTGTGATTAACCCTTTCGATAGTTATTATAAAATACGTTATACGTTTTTATTTTTCAAATTTCACGAGTGTGACGCCCAAAAAAAAACTGTGAATGCAGTTCTTTTTATTATTAAAATAAAATGATGTCTTCTTTCACTAAAATATCCTATCTTAAATATTTAGTATACTTTCCCTCCGTGTGAGGTAGCCGTGGGACGCCCTGTATATAAAGATCGACCCCACATGTGGGATAAAAAAAACAAACATTATTTATATATTTTTTAATAAGTCTTATTTTTTAAGCATGTAACTGCTCGATGTTTAAATCTACAGAAAATATATCTAATATAATAGAAATAGTTTTTTTTATTTTTTCTTGTAATATTTTCTTTAGATTAAAACTTCGAGCAGTTACATGCTTTATAAAATTAAAATTATAACTTTAATTGCTATTTCTTCTTTCAAATGTTTAATACTTATAAAAGTATTCATTTGATATTATGGGTCACCTACAATGCGAAGAGATGGCCCTGCCTTGCAGCTGAAGAAAGGTTAGAAACGATTCGATATGGATGTCGAGGCCGCGTTAGCATAATTGGTCAGTGCATTCGCCCGGATAGCGAAGGGTGCGGGTTAGAGTCCCGTCTGCTGCCAGGGCCGCGTGTTTTTTTTTCTAATAATATAAACATTATCTATTTTTAATACATTTCTTTCTGCTGCCAATTCTTCACCCATTATTTACTTTTTTGCTCTAACACCAAAGAAAAAGCCAAAGCCCTATCTACCGATGTTCTGTTTTTTTGATAACTCTGGGATCATCATCAATGCGTGTGTTTAGCTCAACATACCCCCCAAACACTAAATAGCAGGCGTGTGTGTAGATACCAACCGATATTGCCCCGACCGCCGTGCACCCTAGATTGTCCCTGTGGCAGGGATGTCAGTAGGCCGTTAAGGTTTTCACGCACACCACTCATGACATAAAACGAGCTTCAACGGTATAAAAGCACTGATTTATTTATTTATTGACGTTTCGTATCCTTTTCAGGATGCATCGTTTGAATTATGATTTTAGTTCCTTTGTCGAGCTACCTTCGAAAGACTATTTCGAAACAAAGAAAAATGCGAAACGTCAATAAATAAATAAATCAGTGCATGTATACAGTTGAAACTTGTTTTATTTAATTATCTTTCATATTAATGCCAATGTGATATTAAGGATATTATCCATAATATACCTAATAATTTTAAGTGTGAATCTGTCTTTTGGTTATTCGTTTGACCCGAAACTACTGCAATGATTTTGATAAATTTTGGTATTGAGTTTGACCTTGGAAAGACACAGGCAATTTGTCATGTAAATATTTGTCATGTAATGTCAGGTAAATAAGACATGGAAGAAGTCTGTAATTATATAAAACTCTTTTGAATATACTACTGTTTAAAGCAATGTAAACTTTCAATTATGAATTGCAAGTGTATTTTTATTGTAACAGTTACCTTCAAAAATGTGTATAATAATAATAAAATTTTAAGCTGTTTGCGTAAAAGTTAAAGCTCTAAAGAAAAATACAATAATGAGAACCCAATCAAACATTGCAATATGTTATCTACGTACGGGTTACACAGCAGCGCAGACACTGCCTTTGCAAAAATATTTGCGAAGATTGCGTCATTTCAGAAACAATACTTATCTGCTAGTCTGGCGGTTATTACTTAGTAACTATAATAGTAAGAAAGAAAGAAAATGTTTTATTCTGTGACACAAATTAAAACATAAACAAATATACTCTTAGGAACCAGGGCTCGGGGGGAAAGTGCTCCATACATTTGTGCAGCAGCCGCTCGAAGAGGAGAAGGAGGAAGAGCAGTGCTGCAGCCATCCCTCAGCTCCAGCCCCCAGGGACGTATGGAATAGCGTCACCCAGGGACTGGGTCTAGCAAAAACAATTAAAAACAAAAAGAAGACATAAACCATATATACCAAACCATATTAGCAATAAAGAGAACGAACGAATATAAACAAAAAAAAAATATATACTCTCAGATTAAAACAAAAAGGGTAGATACGGTACGCTCATACTAGCATCAAATAAAATATGATCCGACTCAAATACATAAGCAGTCTCACACACGCGCACGTCTGTATATAAACATTCAATCGAGCGAGCGAGACAGAACTATACGCTTCAACGCAGCGTATTGTTGTCCTTTTCTTGATAGCAAAATGGCGATTACTTAAATAATATTTACGACAAAATGTGATTTTTGAGAAAAATATTTTTTTACAGTTTTACGAATGATAAGTGTTGCTGAGGCATTTGTTACTTGATTTTGAACTATTTGTGTTCTTTATAAATGCATCGAAGGCATTGTTTTATCTTCATAACACAGAATACACGTAATATTGTTATATTGAGAGCACATGCACACGTTTGAACGTCCAATTGTGACTAAAGCGAATTATGGTCATGCACCACAATTTAAGCGAATCACTTTTGAGCCGCGAATGCCGTGTCTTCCCATTTTCATCTAAGAATAATACATTATACATAAATACAATAATTAAGGTCTAAACTCTCGAGGAGGAGATCGAGGTGCTCGATGGCGCAAGTGGTTAGCGCGTTCGGCTGCGATCGTTATCTGTATCGAAGTTAAGTAACTTTCGCAGTGGTCGGTCATTGGATAACCAAAAATTTACTATTTCCAGCTGCTCCGTGCTTTGGAAAGCACGTTAAGCCGTTGGTCCCGACTGCATCTGCAGACGTTAACACCCACCAATCCGCACTGGGCCCACGTGGTGGGTCATAGCCCAATCTCCCTATTCCATCCATAGGGAAGGCCTGTGCCCCAGCAGTGGGGACTTTAATAGGCTGATGATGATGATGATGATGATGAGGTCTAAACATTTGCGTCACTAAAAAGGCAGTCCACTCAGCAAGTGTCGGATGTCGTAGACTGTCCGACGTTGGTCTTCCGTGGTTACCACGTGGTTCCGTGGTATGAATGTCGCTCCATCAATTTTATTTTTGAGAAAATTTGTTTTAGCAAGTAATTAATTATTGGTAAAAGTTCTTAAAACTTTTGGGAAATTCACTTATATGAAACGCTACCGAGCGGTTGTGACGTAGAGATAGATAGTGTAGCATGTCTATATATATATATTGTAATAAACGAATAATAGTTTCTATGGTTGGTCACCCATCCGAACGACCATTGCTATTGCAACAAATCAGCATATAAGCGCCATGTTCACGGGATATAACAAAATCTACGAGACCTAGTGCGAACGAGTAGCTTTTTTTATGTATTTTCACCGATTTCTTCATCAATTGTGGATCGACTTCCAAAATTATTTTTTTATTCGAAAGAGTGCACTTCTTAGGCGGTCCCATTGGAACCAAACCAGGATCTGATGGTGGAATCCGGGGAAATCAAGGGAAACCTTCAAATTTCAAAGGCAAGCACGATGTTTTTTTATGCATGTTCACCGATTTCTCCGTCAACTGTGGACCGATTTCCTAAATTCTTTTTTTATTCGAAAGACTACACTTCCGAGTCACTGGAACCAAACCAGGATCTGATGATGGAATTCTGCGAAATCGAAGGTCATCATCATGTCAGCCGTACGACGCCCACTGCTGAACATAGGTCTTCCCCAAGGATATCCACACCGATCGGTCCTGCACCACTCGCATCCATCGGCTTCCCACGACCTTCACAAGAGCGTCGGTCCACCTTGTAGGGATCGTCCACTGAGCATCGTCCGGTACGTGGTCGCCATTCCAGAACCTTTCCGCCCCAACGGTCATCGGTTCTTCTTGCTACATACCCCACCCACTGCCACTTCAGCGGAGGAATCCTTCAAGC